TCTGGCTTAACTGTCGACGATAATTTTATTTAGTTACGGATAAATATAATATTTGATAAAGCTTTCCGATTCTTATTATGATAATCCAAATAATGCATTTAACTCAATTAATATATTACAATTACTAGAAGCTAACAATAATAATAATAATAATAATAAACATATCACAGAAACGTATTCGTAGAATTATCACGTCCAGGTGCTATTTTATTTGTCATATACCTTAGCTATTCCGCGTAATATAATTTATAAATAGAAATTTCACAGTAAAAAATAATTGTATACATATTATATAATGTGAATAAATATACAGGGAGAAATAATACATTAACAATTCGTTATCAAGAAATATGATCACAAGTCACAACATTCAAGTATTAAACAGTGTTTTTAAATTCGACGACCGTGATCCACATTGTAGTACACGAGTGGTATTATCATCGTTTCATCATTGATCAGTTAGTCTTAGAAAAAATTGTCGTCAAAAAAACTTTTTTTTCAATTTCTGTACTATTTGACTGTCTACTAAACCGTTTTCACGTCGTCCGCGAATGGATCACTATTATCAATAATTCATTGTGACGAAATTCCAGCAATCAAGTCTTGTACACATATTTATAAGTCTCGTTTTACGGCGGTAATCTACTCTTTGCTGATATAAAAAGAATTATATCAATCATAAATGGTTATATGAAAGAGTTATATACTTGAGACCGGCCTCATATCATCGAGTACAAAACATACCACTTGACGCAAAATAATTTTACGTAAACCATCATATGAGTACAACACTGCAGATTTTAATGAATATATCAATATTAATAGCTCATTATTACTATAATTGATGGATCAGGCAAAAGCATACATAGCGTATTAATATTTAATTATTTAATATTACCTAATTGATATACGAAAAAGGGGATATATTGCTTAAAGAAGGGCTCACATGATCCTTGAGAAGGGGGTATCAGTAGTCGAATATTAAGCATTGAAACAACCATTACCACTTATTTTTTAATAATGGTAAAAAAATAAAATAATTGAAATATGCATAAACACATATTTAAAAATGTATTTTTTCAATAACCTGCCAAATGTATATTACTTAAAAAAAACTTAACTTATTATTTGATTTATACGTAAAACTGTGAACAAAATAGAATTAGAAGTTGTATATAAAATTTATAACATATAAGATATTTTAGTATATTAGTTAAAAATTAAATTTGAAAGTTTTTCTACCAGAAACATAGAGTATTTATGATGGTACACGGGCCCAGATCTCTCCCATCTATACTGATATCCAGTTTAACCATGTAAATTTGTTATTTCCATGGGATTAAAAAACAAAAATATTGTAATATGGTTGTCATAATAATAAATTGTTACTAATAATTTACAAATATGATAGTCACAGTATAATGGATAATTTATTGAGAATTAGAAAAGGTGCAGTCATGATACAATCCTAAATTGTTGGTGCAATTATAATAAAAAATGCTGTACTTCACCGTTATCTTCATAGTATTTACAATATAATTAGCAATTATTATCAATATTTGTCATGTTAAACAACTTTTGATATTTTTATAGTTTTTGTTCATAAATTTATAAGTATTTCGATTTGAAATATAGTAGTCATTATTTTTGCTTTCAATATTTGGTTTCTCATTAATATAGTGTGTTGGACTCAGGTGAGAAGGGGTATCAGTCTAATTAGGACTAAAGTTTTGAGGCTATTGGTAACATATATATATATATATATTTTTTTTTTTACTCATCTGAGTAAAAATTACTCTTACAAATTTAGTCACAATAATTTGTATATTTGTAAATGACTTATAACTAATATGAATTTATATTAATAAGTTCTTATAATTTTATTTCATTGTAAATTGTCTGAATTTTAAGTTGTATATTTCTAATATATCACCATTATTCAATAAATGTACTGTAAATTATTGATATCTACATCTAGATAATATATAAACTAGAGAATGCCTCATTGCAGTATATTCGTCGAAGAAAATATTTGTTGTAATTTACTGTCTAATATATATATATATATATATATATATTTTGGAGATTTAACCCCTCAATGAAAATTCCTCAATACGCTACTGGCTTGATATTGTTACATTCATTTTACATAGTTAAGTTATTATAGAGAACACGGATATCCCATAAACCTCTGTATCTTTGAAAGGAATATTTATATTAAATTTTAAATAAATTGACTCAACAGTTCACAAGATTACACGTTTTTTGAAATAAGGGTTACTAAATTTTATTCATACATATGTTTATAACAGATCATTTTGTAACTATTATTACCATAGACGATGTTAAAATAAATAAGACCTATGCTAAAAATAATTTGAAGCAACATAATAAAATTGATTAAATGCTTTTAAATACAAGATTAAAAGATAAAAATCGGTTTTGTTTGTCTAATATTATTAATATTGATAGCTTAATTAGTATTTTCAATAATAAATTGAACTCCTTTATTAAGATATCTAATATTTTAAAATGTGTTCATATTAATAGTAAGACCTAATGGTATCAATTAGACATAAAGAAAAATTGTCTTTTAAACTTAATAAATGTCCTTTTAATTTAGTTTTGAAAATAATTTTTTCAATTTACAAACATTTACTGAATGTGCTAATTAAAAAAGCTAAAGACATTTTTTACTTAATAAGATTCAGAATGCTTCTAAGGACTCTAAAAATACGTGAAAAATTATAAACAATGTTTTTGGTCATAATAAAAATAATTATGTTCATATTAACAATATTTTAACTGCTGATGGTTTAATTAAGAATGATTATTTTGGAATTGGTAATAAATTAAATAATTTCTTTGCAAATGTTGGAAAAAATATAGAATATAATTTTGATAAAAATAGTTTTTTGAAAACCATGGAGCTGGATCAATAGGTTTTGTACAGGCCTTCATTTTTTTGATCATTATTTCTCATGTTGAAATAAAAAATAAATTTCTGTAATTAAGCCTGATAATAAGTTCTATTATTATGGAATAAAAAATATTCTATTAAAAAATACTATTAAAAATATTATTTATCCTTTCGATGTATTCTTAATTTAATAATCTAGACTGGTGTTTATCTAAGCTCAGTGCATTGTAATACCTCTATATGGATATAATGATATACATTTCTGTTGAAATTACAGATCAATTTAATTATTATCTTTAACACTATTTAAAATTTTTGAAAAATTTCTGAAGTCCAAATATTAAATTTTTTAAGTAGACATTATTCTTTCTATAGTAATTAATTTGGCTTTCTACTTGGAAAGTCAACTAGGGTCCCTCTATTAATGTTTAATGAATTTGTTTCCGAGAACCTAGATTGTAATATAAGATGATTGAGAACTTTCTCGATATTCAAAAAGCTTTCGATTCTGTTAATTATGATATTTTATTAAAAAAACTCGATTATTTTGGCATTAGAGGATTAACATTAAAGCTTTACAAATTTTGCTTAAGTAATAGAACACTGCTGGTTTTCAAATTAAATGATGTTCTTAGTGATTCCGCAAATATTACACATGATGTAACACAAGGAACTGTCTTAGGATCTATTTTATTTCTTATTTATATTAAATGGTCTGCTTAATTTAAATTATGGCTTAAACTTTCAAGCTGATGATATAGTCATATTACTTCACAGTGATAGTTAAAATGATTTGTATAAAAAAGTGAATAGTCAATTTCATTTCATTAAAGTATGGTTAGATAATCATGTGTGATATGTTAATACTCAATATTTCTAAATCTAAATATATAATTATTTAAATCAAAGAGTGCTCATTAAATCATAACTTAAAAAGCTAAAATTACATTTGTTTTTCTTGTAACTTTAGATCTCAGGATGTTGTAAATTGTAAATGTAATATCTTGTAAAAAGTGGATTAATATAAATATGTCGGTATTACATTAAATTATAAATTACTATGTGCCATTGATTAAAACTACTATATTGATATTTATAAATTATAATAAATGTTTGCACGTAGTACGGCGTCATTGTACACAATACACACAAACAAGAATTGTCGCGTGTTCTATTTATTGTGCGGCGATTAAGTGTTTATACAGAAACGTTATCATGTGTTAAGTGATATTTATGAAGTGATCATCGAACGATGAACACGAGTAGAAAATTCTGCACATTATCCTGTGAGTCATATCGAGAGTTCAGCGCGTTGAATTGGCGGGGCGGGGGGAGGATCGTGCGCGTGCGATTTTTGAACGATTTTTGTGAAGAGCTGAAGAACAACGACATTCGGATGTTAGTATCTTGATGATACATACTTGACGATTATGCGAGATAAGTGCGTTCTCTACGAATTTAATTGTTTTTTGAAAGTAATCAAGAATTTGATGTGAGCTTCACGAATCATGGCGAACAGATTAAAAATAATCTGTGTTGTTTGTCAATATGGTGTGACGTATAATATTGACACACTAAAATGAATATGTCTATAACGTTGTGATGTATTTTTGAAAACGATAAGTTTCAGTGTTTATGATAGTGGAAATTTACATAGGTACCTACTTAGTGGCGTACTAAATATTAATCGTTCATCAATGTTATATTATTTCGTTTATTTATCGGTTAACACTTATCGTTCGTTTGTTTTTCTAGTTTGACTTTTGTTGTCGACAGTTACCGATATTCTACAATTACCGTGATGGCTGCTCAGTTCCAAACGTTTAAGCTATATAAATACGTTAAAATTGTGTATTATAATCCGGAAAGTACATAATACAATAATATACAAAGTTTTATCAAGGTGGCCAGTTTTAAGCTCGCTTCTGTAGAAGAAACAAAGTATAAGATGTCGCAAAAGGAATTTTATTCATACCCAAATATACAATATGCTATAAAATGTAATATTTTTTTAATAACGTTTTTTTCAAAGTACATTTTTTGAATTATTTTCAAATCTATATTATAAACAAAAATGCACATCTATCACTTACTTATATAAATTGAGATTATAAAATTACGAGTAAGTAAAATATATATTATATAATTTTATTATTCGACGATAATTTGTTCCGGACCGTTCTCACCACTCGTGTACTCGACGAATATGCTATAATAATGTATTTCTTTGATTCGCGTCACATTACGTGTAAGTACGAATCTGTTCCCGCTACGTGGCGAGTATCAGCAAACGGTTGATATTTTTCAAATACACGTGTCGGGGGGGGGGGGGGGGGCGTCTTTGTTTTGAAACGTATAAAACGAAACGAGTGATCATAGTCTTGATGTTGAATGTGTGGGTGTGCGGGCGATAAGAGGGGAGTGGCTTTGGGTGGTTATGGGAGAGTGGATAATAGTTTGCCAGACGGGTCAGAGTTCGGTGACGTGTAACCCGTTGGGCGGCGGCAGTAGCAAGTAGACCCCACCGCTAGCGGCCGGCGACACAGGGGCGGCCCTCACGTCCGCGTCGTCCGTCTGCGTGCAGCTGTGCCGTTTGGTCCATCGGGGTTCCTGCGGCGGTTTGGGCAACATGACCGCCTCGTCGTACGACGGCAGCTGCGACATCTTGCGCGCTGACTCCGCAGCGGCTGCGTACTCGTCGAAGTACTCGTCCGGTCCCGCCGAGCCCACGCCGCCGGACCGGTCGGGGTTGCCGTACTCGTCCAGCTGCCGGCGTCTGCGCATTATCTGCCGGGTCTTCATGTTCTCGTGGACGGCCACGAATATGGCCATCAGTCCGGAAACGCACAGTATGAGTATGACGCCGATGGCCATCGAGAAGTTCTTCCGGTTGTCCCGGGTATACACGGGGCTGTTGACGCACGCCACGTGCCACAGCATTCCGGTAACGTTGTCTGGGGTCAGGCAGCTTGGCGTCCTGAAAAACGCGTAAAGGTGTCGAAATATATTATATTGCGCGGCCGACAAGCGATTCAGCTCTATTGTGTTCCCGAGAGCAGAACCAGATCTATATCGGAAGCGAGAATAATACTAAGGGTGCGACTACTTAACATATCGAAGACCCCCACTGGATTGATTTTAAAAAGAAAATACTATCGCTAGGTAAGTATATCTCATAGCTTGTGTGTTCCTGTTACGAGTGTAGATAAAACGAGTCTATGCATGCGAGTAATTTTTAAAAATACATATTTTCTTGACCGTTATTCAAGTCAATTTACGTGTTGTGGCATAGTATTTTTCGTTTGTGAATACCAGGGCAGCAGCTGTTCCCAGACATATAGTGACACGTATATTAGTGATTGAATAGACCAGATTGTGCTTACCGGAAATGGATGTTTCAGTAACTTACTAAACTGTACAGGACGAATGCTCATGACGCGTATTTCCTGTACTGGAAGTACCCCGTGGAACATTGTGGTCTGTGGAGCACATCCTTTTTAGTTGCTCTTACAGGGCTCGAATAGCAAGTCAAATCATTTATTGGTGACAGAAACTAGGATATCTTTATTCTTTGGTTACATTTTGGATATCTAATGTACGGGAAATAGTAAATTCCTGCACATGACTACACGAGTAACTAGTAAAAAATTACATAGGTATATGTTAATTCCTATAAATTATATGTATAAGTTCCTAAACTACAAAAATATGATATAATATATGTTGTATTATTATATACAATAAACACTGACATTTTTATTTATTTCATAACAACCTTAATACATGAAAAATAGTATGTTTTTTACAAAAAATCAATAATTAACCAAAACATATAAGTGTAATAACTTTTTACGTTATTAAAAATAACGATACAATTTTAATTATTTTAGAACACTTGTATGAGTTGTACATTCTGAATACCTACCTATAAGATAAAACAGCCAATACCGACTACTATCTGTCAGTTTCGAAACGTTGGAGGAAAAAATCAAACGAGCACAGCCCAAATCGTGGAAGAGCGGTAAGTGGTTTTTTCACTACGACAACGTGCCAGTTCATTTGTCACTCAGAACACGTCAGTTTTTGGCTAACAATGTAACCACTGTACTCCCCCACCCTTACTATTATCTGGCCTAGCTTCATGTAACTTTTTCATTTTTCCCAAACGTAAAAAGCCGCTCAAAGAAAAAAGATTTGCCATCAGTAAGGTGATTAGATGATTAAGGAGAATTCAACCAGATAGCTTATGGCCATCCTAGAAGAAACGTACCAGGACTGTTTTAAGAAGTAAAAACACCATTGAGATAAGTATATACGCAAAGAAAAAAAGTACTCTAAAGCGTAATCAAATAAATTATTTATAAGTGAAGTTTTTTTAATAAAGAAAGTTCGGGACTTTTTTAACAGTTATCATACATTTTTAATTATTTTAAAATAATTGTATGAGTTAGTATCATAAATATCTTAATATTTGTGTAGTAGGAACTATATATATATCATTTTTTTTTCTATAGTGAATTAACATATTATGTAAATATCTTTTTACCTGTTAGGACTCGTGTAGGAAATTACATTTGCTCTCAATACGTGGTCCTTATCCACTTTTAAGTCATCCAGAACATTATATGTGACGAGCAGTTGTCTTACTAAATGGTTGAAAAAAACTATAACCACAAAGAATAAGACAAAAGGATATGAAAAGCAAAGAGGTGATTGGGTACGATAAATCCAGCGAACTTGGCAAAATGTTTACTTTCGAACGTCTAATGATACACAATGCAGGAAGTCCGGTTTGCGGGTGGCCCACAGCGTATTTTTATTTTTAATTCTTTACATTTACAAACGAAAAATACTTTACCTTTACTTAACATAACTTTTCTTAAAAATATTTATCTTTGAGAAACAATAGTTTTCACAATATTTTCTATATTATCAGCTATCAAGATTATTTTGAATCTACAATCTTAATCTTTGTTGATTTCATATTTGTATGTGCTGATTTCATCCGTATCATATATATATATATATATATATATATTTGTAGTTTACTAAGTTTATAATTTAAATACCTGTTTTTTTTCAACATTATAAAATGTTTACTACGTAGTTTATTTATTTAGTTAATAATAATAATTATTATTATTATTTTTTTGGTATTTTTCTTTCTATATCAATTCTTTATGATTGAAAAAAAAAAATAAAATACACTAAATTATTTAAGGTAATCATAAAATTTGATATGTATTTTTGAAAAAGTATTAATGAAATTCAAATTATTTTTATTAATTTAACTTCAAATATTTATAAATTTATAAATGTATAGATAAATTATCATACTGAATATCAATGTTAAAAATGAAAACCATAGCTTAAGTTTGAAAAATACGATATGGTTGAAATAGTTTTTGTTATTTCATTTAAAATATATTAGAAAAATATTTAATTAAAAAAATACATTAAAAATAAAATAATAAAGTCAAGATTATTTAGTGTAGGATTGGCATAATACTAATTTTTATTATACATTTTGCAGCTTATAAGTACTTTGATATATTTTCAATATTGTTGATAATTCAATAAAAACATTTTGTGCTTTAGAATAAATTTATTTGATTAATTTTATTAGCATGAGCAATTCAGAGACATCCTATTCAGGGCACGATGCATTTAACCGCAAAAGTACGTTACAGAGTAATGGTCGTGGCAATTTTCAGTTGAATGAAATTTGATAGATACGAAGTACCGTGTTGTATAAGGAAACTCGGCAAGTAGAAATTGAAAGCGTTATAAATAACTAGTCATTGATTTGATTCGATTGGTTCAACTCGATATTGCAAGACATAAAATTTCTGACGTATAAAAAATATTTTTTTCGAAAAAAATCAACTCTAACTTTGAACTTTTGAAATTCCATGATTACATAATATAACTTATGAATAATAATAATAAACAGGTATTATAGTATAATTATTATTATTTTATTTTTATTCTTAAAAGTTTTTAAAAAATATAAGTTTTTAGACATAGATTTCGTAATATTTTAGCTTGTTTTAGATAATAGATAATTGAAACTTTATGGTTTAGTGAATATCTTAATGAGAATTTGTTGAGATAAATATAATTAAATATTTATTGTGCTTATTAAAAAATTATATATTTATGAAAAAAATAAATTAAATGATATTTCAGTTGTCCAAATATCATAATATCTTCTTCTAAGACTTAACATATATTTATATGCATGTCTAAATATTATTTTTTTGTAAATTTTTAAAGTGTATGTTTAATTTTCCCTCTTGTAATTATTATGCCTATAAAGTATTCACATTGTGGTAAAAATATAAAATAAATATAAATAGTAACTTAAATTTTTTTTTTTTTGAAAATGATAATATTATAGTTTAAAGTGTATGCTACCAAACTGGAAGAATTGTTTATAAAAAAATGATAATAATGATAATATTATAATATATATTAAATGTTTAGTAGCAAAACTTTTGTTATAGTTTATTATTTTATTGTCATTTATTTTTGAAGGTGAATTAAATTTAAATCATACAACTTTCGTGTGTCGACTTCTACTTGTAAACCCATAATCAAATATATATAATTATGTTAAATATTTAATGCTTATCTGGTTCTATCGGAATCTATAATTTATAATTTATTTGTTTTTTTAATTTTTTTTTTTTTTTTTATATAACGTTTTGAGCAGATATATAATTATTCATTTCTTCATTTCTTATTACTTGAATATCAATTTATTTTATCACGTTTTAATATAGAGTATTACAAGTAAATTACTTAAAAATATATCATACCTGTCAATTGGAGAATGTTTGGTAGTTTTATTTGCCAGTATAGCCATGTACACGAAATCAACGCTGTAACAATCACACATCCATGGATTGTCGTCCAAATCAACGTATTTCAGCTTAGTGCATTTATTAAACGTGCCATTTTTTAAAGCGACTAAACGGTTCCCAGTTAATCGTATTTCGGTAAGATTAGGCGAGTTGACAAACTCGTATGATATCAGATGTGAAATTCGACAATAACTAAGATCCAAAAACGATAGGTGCGACGAATTGAAACTACCAGGTAATAACATTTGCAACGGGTTATTGGATATGATGAGTTCGTTTAATTTCTCTAGTTGAACGAATGCTCCATTCGGAATCGAATGGATCCAACAGTGATCGAAGTTCAGTCGGCGGAGAGAGTTCGATTTCAGCCGTCCAACCTGAGAGATGAAGTTGAACGAAAGGTTCAATGATTCCAGGACCGGCAATGTAGCCAAGGCTGATTCCCAAGAGATTTCTACGATAAAGTTTGTAGACAAATCCAAAATCAGAAGTGATGACAAGCCGTAAAATGCCAACGGATCCACCTGAATCATAAAAGAATACAAATTTTATTGTTACTATTTCATATATAGTTAAAATGTAATTGGATATTCCACTGTTGTCATTACAAACAGTTGTTTTCGTGTCGTTTGATTTTGATTTATAATGATTTGAGGACCATATTTCATAAATATATTTATTTGATACCTTGATGAAAACGAATACCCCATATTATTGCATTGTGAGTTCATTTTATTCGAATTGATTGATTCTATCGATCAAAATGACATTTTAAATTTCGGATCATAAATAAAAACTACTAACTAGGTATCATATACATGATATAAAACGAATTTATTTTTACTTCATGAAACGAGGCATCACTATTAATCAGTAATTTGAGTAATTTAATAGTTATTAAATTGAATATTTGCTCAACAATAGTTTTTCTGACATTGTTTGTTTTTTAAAATAAAAAGATATGAGTATGCAAAATTTGCAATATGAAAATTATTCATATTCAAATTATTTATTTTAATTAATAATAAGTGCTTATAAGTTATAGAAGATGATTTTTGAATTAATTCTGTGTTATATAATAATATACCTAATAGATTATTAATGTTATTAAAAAATAAAACAAAGTGTATTTAATTGAAATGTGACAAAATGCTAATAATATGTATTTTATTAGAATTTAAAAATTAAAACATTTTAAATGTTTTCTTTACTTAATTTAAGTATAAGTATAAATTATTAAGTCATCCTTAAAAAATTTTTTTTTAGATTTTAGTACGAAAAATTGTTGACAAATGATACGTACAGTTTCGATATGGTTTTCGTGTAGATCCAAATTAATTAGTTTTGAATTATTGGCAAATTGATAAGCTGTAAGTCTTTTAATACGGTTGTTATTCATAAATACAGTTCTAACTTGAAGCATACCATCTATATTTGGTATGCGCACTGAACACTGTGAAATGTCAAACGTTTTGAGCGACTTGGATTGTATTGGATTGTCGATAAATAGCTGGTCGTTTAAGCTAGTATCCAATAGTTCAAGATTTGTAAATCCACTCAGAGCATCATCGCTAAGCTGGACAAGGAGACAACCACGTAAGTTCAACGTGGTGATTGAGTTCGAAGACAATTCATTGAATACTAATAATGGATTATTTGACAAGTTCAAGTATCTCAGTTTTTTGAGTCCACTGAGTACAAATTTTCCAACTAATGAAAAGATTTTACAATGACTAACGTCTAATACTTCTAGCGATTCACTGATCAATATTGTGCTATAGTTTTGACCAAGATCAGTGATATGATTATTCGATAAGTTTAGACGTTTGATATTTATAGTATTGTTAAACAATTCACTAGGATTTATATCAGCAATGTTTATAATAGAGTTATTACTCAATATCAGATCTTCGAGATTCCATAAGTTTTGTAAAGCATTCTTCTCAATTTTTTGGATATTATTTGTGGATAGATTAAGTTTCTTGCAATTAGTCATGTGTGATACTTCAAGTGGAATAAAGTCCAATGTCATGTTTGAAAAATCTAAATTTTCTATCTGAAAAAATAAAATAAAATTCGTTATATTATATATTATTATTGTAAAAACATATTAATGAAAAAGAATAGAAATAATTAAACCAAAATAAATTTTCTTGATACTGATTACTTATAAAAACTTATTGTTTAAAAAAAAATACTTATAATACATTATTTTCATGATATTATTTTAAATTTTGGTGTTATCTTATGTAGAAATATAAACAGTATAATATAACTAAATATTGGTAATTTCATAACTATCTTATACGAGTATAGTTTTAAATTGAATAAGTACATTGGGTTATTATTTGTAATTTAAAAAACAAGATCAACATAATTTAATTTTAGGAAAACTTTAAGTAGTATAAAATGTTATTATTGTATAGTTATATAATTTAGGATAGAGTGAAAAATGATTATATTACTGTGTCGAATATAAACAAAGTTTATTACAATACTATGACGGTATTAAGAGTTTAAATTCAATATTTTCTAAATATATAATTTACATAACATATTATGCATTTAGGTGTTTTCTTAGCAATATATTTTAAAAATTCATCAAAGGGCAATGTATAATAATATAATATAATTAATAATGCCTATATGTATTTTACTTGAGTATAATAATCATAAATTGTATGCTTTTAATTCAAAGCCAAAATATTAATGTTATTATAGACTGTGAAATGCTTGCAAATTATAAAAAATAATAATAATGTATTTATTTATCTAGTGACGTTAATTTATAATTTCACGTCTACTAGACGAGTATAATGGTATGACTTTTACGTTTTAAATAATTCAATTATACTATTTTTAATTCTTGATAAATATATTACAGTATATTCTCGTATAATGTTAAAAAGTTCGATTTACTATTAAATTGATTAAAAATAATTACATTTTTACGAATTGAAATATATAAATATGCGGATATATATTTTTTTTAAATTACAAAGCTTAAAATACATTTTATGTTTTAAATTTTAAATTATAATCAACAGTTAGTTTAAAATAGGTATAACGTTTTTGGAGGATATTCTATTTCTTTTTTGTAGTGAAATAGTACGAGTATTAATATTATTAATTTTAGTATTTATTTGATAAATAATAAATATTGTATTACGTGTTTCATCTAAGTTATTTATATATAAAAGTAAAGATATAAAATATAAACTAAAATTAATATTTATTTATTTTTTCAATTAGTGGAAGTTATCTTATGATAAATGTTAGTTAAAGATATTTTTTAAATAATTTTAAATTCCTAGTTTTAAATAAATTAAAATGAGAATTTATTTAAAAATAAATATTTATTATATTTCATATATTTATCAAGAAAATAGTTTATGCTCTTATTAAAATTCTAAATTACACTTTAATAGTATTATTAACTAAAATTCATAGTGTTCTGATAATGTTATGATACGGGTACAGTTTAATCACTAATCGAGAATAAGAATGTGAAACTATAATACGATCTTGAGGTCAATTTGTGTAGAAAATCACGGGAAATATTTTACTTCAATTCAACGTATCTAGTTTTTATAGATCTTAAGTCGAAAATAATAGATTCAAAATAAAATGTATTCAACTTAATTTTTTTTTTAAAGTAAGAATTTTTTAAGTTTTACATAGGCACAAATGTTTTATTACTGCTTTATTGAAAAACTAATAAAAATGTTGAGTTGTTGTTAAAAAAAAAATAATTATTATTATTGATATGACATAATTTATAGAATAATTAATTAAAATAATATTACTTGAGGATCCATATTATAGTTTAGGACATCGGTGATGTTGGCACCAGAACAGAGCATCTCGATGGAAGAACAAACAGCACATTGTTTGGGACATATTGCTTCAGTCGTTAGCAGATCATCATGTAATTTTGAGTTTGTTGTCTTAGCCATACAAAGCAGTATCATCGCCACTCCCATTTTAACTATAAAACCAACCTGAAATGTAAATTATAAACATCTTAAATTTTCTAAAAATTATAATATTATTGTTTATTTTTTGATGTGTAATTAACCGTAACATTTTTACTTTATTTTATCACTTTGACATTTAAAACAACGAGATCATTCCATCCATGAAATCGGGTTTTAGACTAGGAATAATGCCAGAAATAATATGTTACTTATAAAAAAAATGATATTTTATCAGAATATATTTTTTAAGGGTAGTGAATGTATAATAAAATAATTACTATTTTTATTATCGCGCAAAAAACAAAATTCGTGATTTGGTTAAGATTAAAAAAATGATGTGTATTACATATTACAATTAATAATTATTCATCACGGTTCTCAATTACAATTATTATATTTGTACCTATTTGTGTATATTAAATAGTTTTATAAGTTTTATTTGAGAATAAATTAATTTCAAATAAATTGTTTTGAATAAAACAATTTTTTTTTTAACATCATTACATTTCATAAAAATAAAATAAAAACCACACTGTGGTAATAATTATTTTTAGAATGAAATTGCTATTGCTATATAACTTCATATAATAATCTACTAGATGTTCCTCTCATAAAACAATGATATACATCCAATTCCCCAAATACATACCACATGTGAAGTAATCATGTGAGATTTTTAATATATTTTTATGGGTTTTTTTTTTACTGTCATTTATTTATTTATTTATTTTTTTGTATGAGAATTAAGCAATACAAAGCAAAATAAACCAAGTATAATTAATAGGTTAATTTTTAATAAAAAATTTGAATAAATTGTGAATGTGATAAAAAAGAAAAAAAAGAAAACATATTATATTTTATAAAATAGGAAATTTGATGTTCTGTGATGAAATAGTGAAAAAGAATAGTAGTTGAAAGTTGTTTTATAAAAATTAAATAATAATATATAGCAGATAGAAATATAATTTTAGTATACCTGAGTTAATGGGTATAGATATCTAAATTAAATTTCTGTTTGATATTATTGGAAGATTAAGTTTATCACTAATTACAATAGTAAAAAAGAACAAAGATAGGCAAATTGAAATAAGTGATTAGACGAACTATGGATTTTAGCAATTTATTTTATCATACATTTATTTTGATTTGTTATTGAATTATATTTTATTGTGAATTATAAAAATGTAATTAAAAAAAAAAAAAAAAAAAAAAAAATTGAAAATTCGTAAGAATTAATTATTATACTAAGCTAAAATATCTATTACAATTTGTTTTAATAGTTTTTAATTTGACAAAGATGAATATTAACAAATAAAAATTAATACAATATTAGCTTACTTATTTTATGTAATAGGTTTTAAATTAATAGTCTTTTTTTTTTTTTTTGATATTAAATACGTGTTTTAAGAATATAGGGTTGCTGTAAACGCGATTATATTTTGTTCTATCTAATAGAATTATTTATTTGCGTTGACAAGTTCATAAAAAAAATTATCATGTGATAATTTTTTAGTGCATACATTAATCTTCATTGTGATATTGTAAAGTTTGTTTTAGGCATAGGATGGTATTCGTTGTAAACTACGTATTTTCATAATTATATGAAATTTAAGTTGATAAATGAAAATGATTTACCATAATTTATGTATTGAAACGTGTATTTTTTAAATTACACCGAGTAGATTTAACAAAACATAATAAAACATTTTTTTCGATATCATCAGTAAAAAAAAAATATTTCTCGGGGGATAAATGAAATGAACAAAATACTCTTTTCATTTTTATTATCTTGATAAATATTTACAGATTGTTCTATTAATGTTACATTTAAATTTAAATTTATAGCTCTATAACAGTTTATGTAGGTATTTATAATTTATTTTTACAATATTGGAAAATTATTTATTTATTACTATTTTTGTGTTATAATATGTCTATTTAGATGTTTGATTTTTAATAAGGAGTATTTAAAATAAATAAGGTTAAAGTTTTTACTTATTTATTTTTTTAATATTAGATATACATTTTATTTAATACTGTAAAATACAACAATTGTAATCTTCTTAAATTGTCGTTCGTCAATTTTTTTTTAATATTATAAATTCCAAAACATATGGGTATTTAAATAAAATAGTAACGAAATCGATATCACCTTGAATTATATAAATGGTTCTGATAAAGTAAAGAATTAAATTTTAATGATAAATATATGTGTAATTATAAATGTCATAAAAAGTTTCATTTATTTATTTATTTATTTTATTGCAGTTACATATATCAATTTCAACTACTGTCATAACTTGTGTGTTGAGTATATCAAAATTAAAAACGAATAAAATAAACTTCATAATTTACGTATATCTATTTAAATTTAAATTTCAAAAATTGTATTATGTACGTACCATCATATATGTATACCATATTAAGTTATCCCAATACGAGTTGAATACTGAATATCAAGAGAATTGAATAAAGTGAAGATTTAAAAAGACAAATATTTACATAGTACCTATGCTTCGTTATCACGCGGATGGTTTTTTTTTAAATCGCTTATCTTTATTATGTTTAGTGTACTCATGAATTACAATATTAGACTGACAACTGCAAATGGCATCGTATCAGAGGCCATTCGAATAAGATATGGTTACAAAACAATAATGATCAACGAGTAAACTTTATGTTTTATAATTTTAATGTCTTATTTTATTTCCAATTGATTAGGACCGATAGTATTATGATTTATGAAATTGATGTAAATACTCATATTAGTTAATACTTTTTAAAACTAAATTACTATAAAAGTAATAAACAGTTATATAGTTTAACTAGTAAAAAAATCAATATAATTTCAATCTATTTAAATCGTTATTTGAAATACATTAAAATTAATTATTAGTCATGGTCATAATATATGTATTACATTCATATTGTTTCTATATTTTATGTTTAGATACAAATTAAATTTTTTAATATTATATTAAAAATATAAATTTTGATTTATTCATTGCTTTTTAACCATAATTTTTTTTATTAAAAAGTTACATAAGTCTGTATTAATTGTGTCAATTATAATATTAAAAAAAAAAAAAAAAACAGTATAGTATAATTATTTAAAATTAGTCTACATTGAAATGATAACTAGGTTTTTCACTCATTAAAAAGGTTCACCTAGAATGTGTCTGGATGAGTGATTAAAATTGACATTAAATTTGAACGATTGTAGAATGAATAATTAAAAATAGTCTGATTTTAATTTAACGATTAAAATTAAACAAAATTATTATTGTTATTAAAATATCTTACCAACAATGAGTTTTATTTTTATGTTTATAAAACAATTAATAAAAAGTTATCACGGATTGGTTTATCGTAAACATAAATTGTTGTAATTGGTTATTAATGCCCATACACGTCATATAATAATATTCTACTTATATTATTATACGATATAACTGTTTTCTTTTTTTTTTTTAATTTTAATTTGCCATGACGTTGATGCAACAACGCTTAATTTACACGAGAGATGTCATTTCGTCTTAATAGATAATTATGTTTTCTGACGATGATGTAAAATACAGAAAAAAGATTATTATTCTCTTGATCCGTGAATGTGTTGCTCCGAACGAATAATAAAAATAGGAATATAATGCGTGGCAGCCGAAGTGGTGAAAAAATTGAGCGCGGGTGCTAAATATATCATATTATATGATTTTTATATGTTAAAATGTACATGATTATTTTTCTGTCTATTATGCCATCTAATATAAAGGCGGGAGTTAGGTTAGGAGTAACGACAGTCAACTTTGGACTGGGGTGTGTGGTGGTGCATGGCGGGGCGATAGTGAAGGGGGTTGTTTGTACAGTATGATCGGTCGGCCGAGTTGCGGTTTCCGTTACCTCCATTGTCGAAAATTCCGTTGCGGTCTGGAGAACGATAAGTTCAGCTGACGACGTGGTGTCTGTGGCAGGAGGTGGTTAATGCGACCGGGCGAGACGATACAGCGCTGAAGACGTTTGCCGGCGCACGTTTACACGACGATAGACGGCGGCAGTGCACGGAGACCCGAGTACGAAATATAGCATCGTTCACATGCACACTGCAGACCAAACGAGAGTATATACGAGACAAAAATGGTAAACGAAAAAAAAAACAACGGCTTATTGTATAGTTTTATAAAGATATATGTAGGTATAAAGTATATTGGAGTTCTTATTCTCTCGTTTTCCACGCAATAGAGCTGCACCGTTCGGTCGGAGTGTCACCAATCTATCGGAAGATAAGACTGGAAGGTTCATAAAATACGTTTGGCCTAGCCGGTGAACGACTTCGTTTAATTGCTCGTTGAGAACTGATAAAGAAAATCGTACAAAACTCACTTGGCTATGCGCGTGTAGAGGTATAATGACACAATGTAGCAATGATAAGGATGCCGCTAGTACAACACCAGTTCGTTTCATAATATTATCGTTTCTCTTTCTCCCGTTCGTTTTTTTTTTTTTTTTTTTTTATTAATATTACACTCACATTCGAACGTTATGATAATGATTATTGTTATTATAATAATTGCTGTGACGTTTTGTCGACTTCTAATAAATAATATACGTAATATGACGATCTCGCTCGGAGTGTATTTCGAATTATAATAATACTATAATATGATACATATAGGAACGTAGCACAACCAGAACTAACATCATTGTATCAATACGACCGATGAAAATTACCTTCGTATGAATATTAAATTATATATTTTACGAGTATGTATGTGGATTCAGTAGCGTGCGTAGAAATCAGGATGGACGTCTTAAATCGAAATGACAAAAATATATTATATTTTAACATTAACTATAATAAAAACAGCTTTAAGTATTTTTACTTTTAGTTATGAAGTTTATAATAATTGATAATTTACGATATAGGCAAATATTTCAGTAAAATTGTAAATTCTTGTACTATTTACCACTGATTTGTATGAGTCATAAAACTATACTTGAAAAGTAAAAAATTAACAATTTTTTTGATTAAATCCACTGACTTGATATCTTTGGGCTAAACCATCAGAAAGGTTTAAAGTTAAAAGTATATAAAATAAATTCTCATGCTTCGGGGTATATCTCAAATCATCCCTCTTTCGTGCACACGTCACTGTGTGTATTCAAATGCATCCTAAATATCGTTTAGGAACTGTTCCGTTACGACGTGTCTTGTTTTTTTTTTTTTTGTGATCTTCAGGATTTGGACACATTTACATCCTAGCATCTAAAATATATTTAACATATAAAATTATACGCACGTTTTTCGGCGAAGCTGTGTCATAATATCATTATTGTTATATACATGACAATAACCACCCTAAGGGGCGTGAGTTAAATCACCAATTTACAATTGTATGCCGATTGTATACGCATGTATTTTGTAAACTAAGTCGAATATATCTAAGCGACGTTACATCTTGAAATAATATGTCACATTTCTTTGCATAAGCACGTAATAATTACAGTATTACGCATTTCGATAAAGGCTTAAAATCATATTTCACGTGTCTTAGTTATTATAATTTTGATTAAGTCCGTGTCCACGTCGTGTATTGATATAATGCTATTTCATATGTTTTCGATGTTCTATGTTATAGGATAACTAATTTATTTATAATGACTTATAACCATTACTATTTAATGTATTTATTAATTAGAAAAGTTATCTCGAATATAATAATATATTATACTTTTTAGTTTAGAAAAAATAGTTTTCAATAGTATAAAGTATTGCATTTCATAACAAACATTTTTATCGATTATGCTTGTTTATTATTTACTATATTTGTCTATAAATATATATATAAATGTATTGCGTTTCATAAACGTTACTTGCAAGTTAAACAAGTGATTGTTATTAGTATTGAATTTATTATTTATGTATTAGATAGTATTTTATTCAACACTATTATAATATAATAGCGTAACGTCGCACGCAGTCGCGAGATGATTCAATTATTATCCCGTGTTAAAATGTTTAAGCTAATGAATGTAATAAACAATAAGAACATCAAAACAGTTTATCTAGAATATAGCTTATTTAAATTTAAAAAAAAAAAAAGAATAAAATATATATATTTCAATTTTTACAGAACAGTTACTATTATTATTATTATTGAGTAATTATGTTACATATTAATACGAGTATAAATATTGTACTTAAAATGCTTTAACATTTAACTTTGATATATGACCAAAATGTACATTAAATTATATTATAATATTCGAAATATGTTTTCTACTCAGATTGAAACAAAAAGGGCCGTAGGGACTATTGACTTGCAAGTTGAACTTATGTGTGTATAAGCACATTAGGTTTGTTCAGTATTTCGGCTAGAAGGATTTCTGAACTTTTAACAATAATACGTTATTACTTATTAGTTATTGGTTTATTACTACAAATGAATAATTGCATTATTGTACAAATATACAGTTTTATAACTGGGCTTTATTCGTTCATACCCATATTTGTTGGAGCATATACAAGTATAACACAACTTGTGATGGTTTATGTAATTTAAAATTGTATGATGAATAATTCTGTTTAAAATATTAGATAAGAATTAAACATAATAAATAAAGCGAAACAACATTAAATATTATGGATTTTTTGTATAAATAAAAATATCTTATTGTTAGTAGTGCGTTTATTAAATTAAAATGTGTATGTATAATGGACACAAACAAAATATTTAGAAATTAATACAAATTAATTTTAATTTTTTGAATTTTGTTGTCTTTTAATTTATCTTTACATTCTGCGTGAATTGTGACTAATGTATCAATGCTACAATAAATGTGTTTTATTGTTATCTACCTTAGTTTTAACGTGCAGAAGAAATACTTTAACAAAAAACTATAATTTGACGTATCATTGGTATTCTTAACAATATAAAATATATATGTATTATATTTTGAAAATTTTTACTTGTACGCATTCTTTACGAAAACTTAATATTTTAAAAAGTCTAACTAATATATAGTCGAGCACCGCATATACATTTTTTTTTAAATATGCAAATGTAATGTAATTTATCGCTTTTCATAATTTCTTTCATACTCACTAAGTGATCTATCCAATTTCTGTGTATATATTTCTTATAATTATATATTATAATTTATTTTTTGCTTTGGTATTTTTAATATATTCATGAAGATGCTGAAAATAAAATATATATTTGTGTAAGACCTATGAATTCAAACAATTTCTGTAATTTCTTAAGTACCCATGAGACTGAGTCCCATTCGGAATTGTTTTCGATTGCGATGATTTATTATTAGTTCTCCATTTTAAAAACTATCATTCTACTCGTCTTAGTTCGAACTCTTCTATCTTACTTTTTTCATGCTGTGATATTACTATTAAACATGAACCTATGAGTAAAATATAATTATAAAACGTAACAAAATATAAGTATTAAGGTTAATTAAATGTAAAATAAAAATTATAGTTCAAAAATATTTGTTTGAAATTAATGATTCAATCTGATATTATATTACAATACTTTATTGTAATGATACATTTAATACACGTTCACACTTTCAAAATTAAACTATAAATTAGGTAGATATTATATTTGCTTTTATATTGTCACGTTGATAAATTAAAATAACATAACACGTATTTTTATCGATCATTAAAATAAAAAAAAAAAAAAAAAAAAAAAATATGAAATATATTATGTTTTAATAATAATAATAATAATAATATTAAAAAATGATTAGGATTTTTTGTGGTGATATAACCTGATTGTTTAAATAAAAAAAAATTATATGGGAAATATTTCATGTATAATTGTATTTAAGCTATTATAATATTATATAAGAACATAATATCAAAATTGCGTCTTTAATGATTTGGGCACCATAATTATTTTTATTGATTCATGTTATAGATACTACAGCGAAGATAATAATAATAATGTCTATAATTATGAAAATTAAATTAATTAAAATTGATTGTATTGATTTTAAATTTGTATTTTAGTTTTCAAAGCCAATTGTTATTAGGCCCAAGACTCATGAGTTTCGGCATCTTTTGTATTATTGTTATAGCGTAATAATAAATTTCTTTTACAATGTTTCAAAATCTGACTTCAGAGTTGGGTTCGATTTTCTTGGAACTAGTGGAACAAACTTCTTCTAGGAATTATCCGTTATTTGTAACTAGTAAACATCAAATAACACTATCACAGCATGTAAATCATTGACAGTATCGTTACGCTTAATTATTAAGTATTTATACAAGAGTATTTTTTTGTATATTGCAGAAAATGTACTATTTTAACTTCAGAAATTTCCAGTAAAAATCTAATAAATGTTTTTTTTTTAAACTGGTATAGTAAATTACCTCCCTTTTAAAAACAATTTAATTTAAATACTATAATTTTACCGCAAATATGAATCTGATTGTACATACAACTCCTTAAAAAAATAAAAGGTTACAATAACCTAGACAACCGTGTTCGATATGTTATCGTTGTATAAGCTCACCGTGACATGCATTGAGTTTGATACGGTACCTATAGAATTATATTATTATATTACAGTTGATGGTAATGTATGGTGTAATTCACCTATCATGACAAAATAAGCTACTTTTACTAAATAGATTTTAAACTTACCCAATAATAAAAAATGCAAAGATTGATCGAAAACACATTTACTGAAAAACCTACCATCAAATATGTTTTTAGTGTCGAGAAATAGGCACTCTATCTGGTCATTCTGTTACATGTATACTAAAATAAAGTAATGAAATCGATAGAAGTTCAAATACCAGAAAAAATATTTTTCTTTTACAAGATACTAAAAGTAAATTCTTGGATTTTTGTTGATATATTTATTTTCTCCAATTAACTGCTAAACGAATCCTTATAACTATAGAAACGGTATATCATTTATATGCATATAATATATGTATATTATATTTTTTAAATATATATGTATAGTTTTTATATATAAACTAAAAAAAAAAAAAAAAAAAAATGGAAAAAAATACCGATTGTTTTTGTTTGTCACAGAATATATTCAATTTCATAAAGTGATGAGGCACTATAATCAAAAATGTTTAGCTCTTTAGCAGTAAACAGAATGATCTTCGAAAAAGTGATTAATTTAAAATATCTTGAAGTGGAACTAATTACAGATAAATATAATTATTATAGAGAAACTTAACCTAACGATTACAGCTAACTTATGCTTTTTCACCTTAAAACCTGTTTTCATCCCTATATTTGTCTCTCTAAAAATAAAAACAATATTGTACAAAGTAATGATACAATCAATTGATTCATATTAAAGTGAAACATAGAAAACTACAAAATCAGATGAACAAAGAATAGCTATATTTGAAAA